GCTGATCGTCGGTCGAGCACTAAATCCAGCCTTACATTATTTACATTTATATTATACACTGATTATGTAWTATTTTATTTTTGTGTGTATGAAATGTGTAGCCATATAGGCACGAACGACAAACGGCATAGTAATGATTACCACAAATGATCRGTTTTCCAAATTATTTAACTAATATGACGGCATACAGTATATTAGTATATACCATTCTTTATAATATAATATCTATACCGAGTATAGATAAAGTTTATCTTTACATTACCTTGTAACGAATATACTTACGACGCGACGCCTAACGGAATAGTACAGTAACAATATAATATCGATCACAAAAATAACATAACATAAATGCCAATAGAGCGCGCGGATCGAGAGAGAGTGCGAAACCAGTATAGAGGTATTGTAACCGTGTATTTCTACACGCCCCCGGAATACCYGGCTACTTATATAGGAGCGACCGATACACTGGAAAAGGCACCTTCCGACCTTCTCGATACGCTTTGATCGTGTGTAGTATGAGGCTACTAACCCTTGGTCTCTAATCGGCCTCCTAACGGCTATTAGACGGCTAGGAATAGTTGGCCGACTAGGCAAGAATCAAAGCGTGAATCCCGCCGCACGATAGTTCGTTGTATATTTTCCACGCTCCTTGTTATATCCGCAGCCGTGTTTGTATTATGATCCTCCCCTCCGCTGTACACTTGTATTGTAGTCTCGTTTTCTAATCGGCCTCTGTAAAGGTGCGATTCCTAAGACGGCTATTAGACAGCTAGACCCTCGACCTCCGCCGCCCCATGGCATATCGTCGCGTTTACAATCGTACCCGTATCAATATAACCGCGGTAATCACCGGCATCCCGAAAYACGTAGATATTTATCGTTATTATTTCCGCATTTGGCGTTGCACTGTTATACACGTATATATTGACGTTCTAATTGACTGTAAGTAATTAAACTATACTTATTATTATATTCATGTCCGTGAGCATATATCATGTAAAATAACAATACCCGTTATTCTATATAATATCACTTTTAGGAATACCGATTATTAATATGTATGTCTTTGTGAAATTATGTATAC